CTGGGCCAGACGATCATCGAGGTCCGGACCCTGAGCGGGGAGATGGACGTCTGGTACAACCTCGGTAACCGGCTGCCCTGGCACGGCCCACTCAGGCCCCGCGCTCCCGGGGGGTGGGGGGACACATGCTGCCGGCCCTGGCCTGAAGCTATTTCAACATATTAGTGTAGGGTCTGCTGTTAAAAACACTTAATGTCGGAAGCTTTTGGCATCAAGTGTTTTCCCAGGGTCATACCTAAAACCCTTTGCCCAGGAGGTCTGGAGCACTGACCCTCTGCAGAGGGGAAACTGAGGCACGGAGAGGCCAGATCTCTGCCGTGCCTGGAGATATGGCCAAATCCTGCTCTGCAATGTTGCGTTGTACCCTGTCCTGGCTGTGCTCGGTGCTGGGTGTCCCTCGGCTCCGGTCTCAAGAGCCCCTCCGTGCCGGAGCCGTTTACCCCGCTTTGGGAGCAGGAGTGAGCTCTGGGGAAGCCTCGCGTCTCATCCCCCTCCCTGTACCCCCGCAGACAAGCGGACGGACAAGTCGAGTCAGGAGCCATCCGGCTGCACATCAGCGTGGAGATCAAAGGCGAGGAGAAGGTGGCTCCGTACCACGTTCAGTACACCTGCCTGCACGAGGTGAGCAGCCCAAGGACGCGCGGGGAGGGCCATGGCCCCCACCCCAGCGATGCCACTGCATCCCCACCGCCCCCAAGGACCTGACGGGACTCATTTATACCTCCAGAACCTGTTTCACTTTGTGACGGATTTGCAAAACAACGGGGTGGTGAAGATCCCCGACGCCAAGGGGGACGATGCCTGGAAGGTGTACTTTGACGAGACGGCGCAGGAGATCGTGGATGAGTTTGCCATGCGTTACGGGGTCGAGTCCATCTACCAGGCCATGACGTGAGTCCCTCACCCACCACCTTGCTCAAAGGGGGTGCGTCAGCCCTGGCTGGGAGAGGGGGGGTCACCATCGGCATCGTCCTCCCCTGCTGCTGTTTGCACCACGGGTGCGGACACGCTCCCCTAGCTCACCCCACACCCGTGCACCCCTCCCTCCCCTTCTCCGTGCGTGCACCCCAAACCCTGCACCCCTTTCTACCCTTCCATGGCCCCCGCACCCTCATCTTCCACCTCCCTCCGCAGACATTTCGCCTGCCTTTCCTCCAAATACATGTGCCCGGGGGTGCCGGCGGTGATGAGTACCCTGCTAGCCAACATCAACGCCTACTATGCCCACACCCCGGCTTCCACCAATGTCTCGGCCTCCGACCGCTTTGCCGCTTCCAATTTCGGGGTAAGTCCGATGGTGCGTAAACACTTCTTCCTTCTTCTCTCTCTTCTCTTGGGAGGGGGCGGGGGGCTCGGGGGGGTAAAAAGGGCCATGCAAAACACCCCGCTTCAAACCGCGGATGGGCGGC